AGTGACACACCCTATTACCAAGCTCCACACAGCTCAGCTCATCCTCATGGGTCGAGTGGACAAACTTACACCCACCAAGCACCACTCGGCTCCACTATTCCTCATGGGTTGATTGGCCCCCAAATTACCCCTCTCACCATCCATGTTGGTCAAAGCACAAGAACGGTCACACTCGGCTTCACTCCTTTAGAACGGATGAGTGGAGACCTAAGCCCCCAAGTAACTCTCCCTGTTGGTCACAACCTCCATGCCTCACCTCTCGACTCGGATTGTCCTAGCATGTCGAGTGGACAACTTCACCTTCACACCATCAAGTAGACATGTTATCAATCGCATTGCCCCCTGAGCGAGTTTTGGCCAAGAAGTTGGCTGACATGGAAGTTATGCTAAGGCGCATACATGGAGTATTGACCCTAGCCAAGAAAAGCCTATACAGTAGCTATGCCGACTCACACTTTGTGGACAATATAGCCTTAGTTGAGATGCCCCACAAATTCACTTTCCCAAACAAGNGAATTGCATGTTAAAGTGTTACTTTGATATGGCAATTGTGATAGTAGAGAATGGTAGAATATGTCATGACATACCATTATGCCATAATGAATTTGCAAGTTTGTATATGTGAACTTGGAAAGCACATTAAAGAATGGGCTTGATCATGCATATATTGTGCAGATGATATATATGTATAGCCTTGATTTAGTAAATGAGAATATGTGTTAGCAAAGAATGAGAAAGAAAGAAAAGAAAATGGCTTGTAGTTTTCTTTTAAGCTAACATGCAAGTATGTATATATTCTCTAAATTACTAAAGAATGCAAGTGTAGAATTTCCATAGCTTGGAAATTCATGTTGAAATGTGTATAGTATCTCTTTATATTCTCTTTCTACAACATGCTATGTTATAAAGATTTTGCAATGAGGAACCAGTGAGTGATAGAGATGCTCACATACATGCCGCCACGAGCGAGCAGCCATAGCAGAGAGATACAGTATTTATATAGTTCGTCAGTAATGTATTTGGATGAGGAATGTACCCAGCAGAGCATACCTACATGCATGCCGCCACGAGCAAGCGGCCACAGTAGAGAGATATAGTATTTGTACAGTCCGTCAACAATGCACATAGATGAGGACTATACCCACTCACATGGCCAAGGTTCCAAATCCATGCATCAACCTAGTCCGATCAGCAAACCAGAATAGAAGAAAGAAAAGAAAGAGAAACAGAGAAGAAAAGAAAGAGATACAACATAAGAGACAGATAACAGAAAGGAAAAGAAAGTTCTCTTCTCAAGAAAGTTTATTATTCTGCATATGTATTATCCTACTTACATGATTCAGTATTTCTTATGTGCTCGATGATGTACAGTTTTATTCATTGTCTTTGCACATTGATAAGTAGCAAATCAGAATATCATGAAAGAATGCAGAATATCATAAAGGAATGAAGAATATTAGCAAAGATTAAAGTGAGAAAAGGAAAATCAAAACATGAGTAACGGAGGAAGAAAAGTCGTACAGTGTGGTTTACTTACTAAGCAATTAGTGCTCACTCCATTATTTTACTGTTTTGCAGGTGCTAGATGATTTACAGTTGGGTGGAACTTCAAGAAGCGGAGGAGTTTGGCGGCACTGTCTAAGACTACCTTGTATTATCAGTTATTTTGTGTATATATTTAAATGAATTAAAATTAGAATTTTCAGATTTTAGACTATGTATATATGTTTACAAAATTTATTTAGTAGATTTTATCATATATTTCTCAAAGAATTACTAGCTAGAGAGTATATTACACAATTTGTTTGAGAAATTGATGGAAAATGGCTTGAAGAATAAACTTTGGGTTATTAAAGTTTAAGATTTAACATAATTAATTCTTATGATTATGAATTGATTATTAATGTATTGTTGTAATTAACCCATGTACTAATGTTTACCCATTACTTAGATATGCATGGTTAATGTAATGAAATGGCATGAAGATGCAATGTACTATATGTTTTAAGATGATGAATGTGAGCAAGAGGTAATGTAAATGGATTGATAATTCATAGATGAATAAAAAGTATTAAGCTCACTAAAACATGTATTTACATGGCATAAAATGTTAGAGATGCATATAGACATGATGGAAAACACGTCAGCATATCCTCGTATACCGGTTGAGGAAAGATGAATATATGTTTTAGATGCTAAATAACGCGTGAGCACACGTCCTGATGATATGAGCTCTAGATAAATTTGAGGCTAGATGATATGAAGTGCTTAAAATGCTAAGAAAAGTCTGATCGACTAGACGTTGGATGATTCATATTTAGTTGCAATACATGAGTTATGATGTTATTTACATTATGAGATGATTTGTACTCATGTTAGATTATATTTAGAGGTTATGTTATGTCATGACATTCGATGTGTGTGCACTATGTTTACATACTTGTTTGTATGTGTAAACTTGATGTTTCATATGGCCACAGGATAAAATGATGAAAAGTATAAGAATTAGTAAGAAAAGGGAAGCATACTTAGATGTAGAAGATAAGTGGTGTGTTAATAAATATGTTTAAATTAAGGTTGGATAGCACATCTCGAATAAGATGGATCATTCCTTACTGAGCGATTAATGTTCACCCTTTCATTGTTGATTGTTTTGCAGGTAGACCATAAGCGAAGGATGCTAGAGATAGCGGGGCTACACGTGAGGGGAGATGATTTATTGTCATCCTAATGTTTGTATCTTGAAGTAAATAATGTAAATGACAAATGTTTGTGAAACACCTTTGAAAACATCCACCCTATAAATATGTTTTGATTGCTTAATTTCTAGATAAATTCTTAAAGTTTTTGAAAGTATAAGTTTGGATCTTGCGGGACATTTTATATGAATGTTTTGGATATTATTATTATTATAAATAACTCCCTTCAAATTCATATAAATAACTCCAACCGTTCACATTCTTATCAAACAAATACAACGTATCAATCATCAATCCCTTTACTTTCAAATAAATATCCCTCTCTTTAATGTGAATGTGAAGTGTTTATATTTATGTGATTAAACAAATCCATAAATCATGAATCAATACTGGTATTAATATGTGTCATTAATACAAAAAATATCAAGCACCAATTACATTCAACTACATGTAACCAAAAATTCTACTCATTCGTATATCCCATGTCATCACTAATACCATGCAGCCAAATGTAAAAATACCATATTGTTACCAATCACATGCAGCCACGTGTTAGACAATCTTCCAACATGTCAAAATGAAGCAATTCTAGAGCTTTAAAAGTCCTGCATGGCATTCAAATAGCCTATGTCTTAGGATTATATAAATATATAGATAGTATAATTTAATATAATTTTCTAATTAATGTTTTTAAAACTTTCCCTTTTATAAAAATTTAACATTTTAGTCTCTCTTATGGAAAATAAGGGAGTTACCTTCCAAAGTTTTTTCTTGATAATATCATTCAAAACTATACATAGTATAAATATAACCATTCTCTAATATGAATGCTATAAATCTCAAGACATTCCTACTTAATAATATTTAGATATATTATATAGATATATTATATATTAGTTGTAAAATATAAAAATAATTGAAATATAACAAAGTAAAACATACTCGTGTAACGCGCGGGCTTTAACCCTAGTAAATCTATAATAAGATGTCAAAATGTGAAGAAACATACGTGTTATTGATGGGAATATTCTATGAAGTTTCATGTAATTGTAGTAAGCTGATTTGGATATCTCGATCATTAAAAAAAAAAAAAAAATTTGAATTCGATTTACAAGTTTTGGGTCTTCATAATTAAGTAGACGTATTTCAAATGAATGAGCAAAATCCAAGAGTAGATTTTTATTTATTTTTATTTAATTTTTTTTTTTTTTTTTTAAAGCCAACGTGTCCAAGAGCAGACCATGCTGGTTAGATGCAAAATCAATAATATCTATTTAGTTTGGGTTTGAGTTATTAGAATTAGTATCAAAGTGGGTTTGCGTTGCGATGGTGCAATGTGACAACTTCACGAAGGTATAAGGTCCATAGGTGGTTTGTGAAGAATTGGTATCATAGTGGGTTTGCGTCGTGATGGTGCAATGTACCTAGAGGATGTAAGATCCATCAGGTGGTTTGTGAAATTCATGGAAGTTGGGCCTAAATTGAGCAATATCTAGTTTGGACCCATGCTGATGGTGTGGTGTTGGGCTCAAGATTGAATATTATCTACTTAGTGAGCAGTATCTTGGGCCCAAAGCCGACCAAATTGTCCAAAGCAAACCAAAACTAATAATACCTGATACTTAACAATGGATATGTTATTGGGTTCAAAACGGATAATATCTATTTAACTCCCATTACTGACTTTCATATAATAAAATGGATAAGAATATTGTTCTCTCAATCTCAAGTCCATTAATTTAACTCAAGTACCTTTAATTGATGGGAAAAAAAAAAATACCTATTTTGGTAAAATTCATCATCCGTCATGATTCTATCAAACCTCAAGGACTGTTCAAAGATTAGCCTCAAAGCACTTTGACGCAAATGTCAAAATTTGGGACTCTTTCATATCTAGTAAACAAACATATAAGGGTAGAAATATATTACATTAATATTATAATAACAATTCTCAATTATAATTAGTTAGCTCTAAATTAATTAGTAAGACTCATGTAAAATCAGTTATAATAGTAAGAATAATGTTATAGTTATCGATAAATATGTACTAAATTTGTGTACCGAATGACGTGGTAAAATCCTGACTATTGATTCATTATAAATTAATATTAATCAACGGTTAGAATTTTATTACGTTATTCGGTATATAATTTTGATATATATTTTTTATAATTCTATTATTTTTCTAATAATAAATTATTATATAAAACAAAGAAGGGTTATTGATGTAATATTATTCGCCGTATATTTAAATCAGAGCCCAGACAAGAGTATCTTCCTCAAACTCCATTCAGGCATTCATTCACTAATACCAACCCTCTCACCTTCGGCGGCGTTTTACCTCTTCACACTCGCACGACAAAACCGACGCCGTTTCATCTCCTCTCTCTCTCTCTCACTCACTAGCCTCTCCTCAATTTCCTCCAAACAAACTAAAACAGAAAGCCAAACCATGTCCGTGATGTCCGCCACGTCTCTTCTCCAATCCTGTTTCCAACAATGCCCCTCGCCGTCTCTCTCCCTCCTCTGTCCTTCTTCGTCCTTTCACATCTCCGTCTTACCACCACCACAGCCGAGGCTCGCCAATATGACAATCACCTGCTGCGTCTCGCAGTCTCAAGTCTCGGTTGTGAATAGCAAGATCGACAGTCGAATCTCCGAGCGTAACGAAATTCGACTCGGCTTGCCGAGCAAAGGCCGCATGGCTGCCGACACTCTCGATCTCCTCAAGGTACTTGCCTTTTCGCTTTCATTTTTTGTTTGAATTTCGGTTGAAAATGTACTTAATTTAAAAGGAGATAATTTCGTTGAATAAGATTTAGTTAGAATTATGGGGACAATGAATGAGAATTCATGTGTTTTTAGTTGCTGATAAACTGAAGGATATTAAATTGTTTTCGTTGTTGTTGTTGTTTTATTTTTTTTTATTTTTGGGTAAATCTTAAGTTTCAGTTGAACCCTAGGGACATGAGTGAGCATTCGTGTGTGTTTGGTTACTGAGTAACTGAAAGATAATGAAATAGAATACGGAGGAAAGGAAATGGAGACTGTGAGTAGTTTATATGTGACGATTTCGAGTTCATTTCTGCTTTTCTAGTTTCTGTATTTATTGATTTATCTGAATTTGCAGTTCTGATATTCTTTTTAGTTTTGGAATGTGTTTAGTTAAAAGAATCTAATCTGTTTGGCTAAGATTTAATCAGTGAAGAAAATGAACTTGAATTTATCTAATGCTGTGTTTAGATTACTGAGAAACAGAAGGATAATGCAAAAGAAAGTGTAATTAGTATGGGTGTGTTTGGGAGTATTTTGTATTCAAGTGTTTTTTGAGTAAAAGTGCTTCTTACAGAAACTACTTTTAACAGCTTTACGTTAAAAAAAAAAGAAAAAAAAAAAAAAAGAAAAACTAGTATTAAGTGTTTCTCAAAAAAGTGTTTTTCACTCAAGTGCACTTATTAGAACAGTACTTGTCAAGAAAAATTCGCCAAGCAGTATTACGAGTGCTTTTGTAGTGATTCTCTTTGGAGGAAAAACTAGTGAATACTTATGAAGTGATTCTCTAAAAAGTACTGTTTGAGCCCAAGCAGATATTTCTCCAAAAATTGCTCCAAATGCTATCTTTATTTGAAACTGTAAAATCGAACTAGAATTCATTAATTGGAAAGTGAAAAACTCTAGCACCCCTTGTCTAATCTTGTGTTTGCTAGCTGACATGTTGGAGGAAAATGAAATGATAACTTAATTTAATAAATATATAACGGTTTCAAATAAATTTCAGCTTACTAGTTTGGTGAATTTTACTAATTCCTGTTTGAATTGGCTATTCTGACGGTTTTTGTTAAATTATTTCCTTTGAAGGACTGTCAACTGTCAGTCAGGCAGGTCAATCCTCGACAATACGTTGCTCAAATCCCTCAGGTTTTTTTCTCATTCTCTTTCCAAATATGCATTTACCATTCTCTTCTGGTTATTTTATATCTGTAATTGTTAGATCTATAAATTCTAATTTTGGCGTTTCTTTTCTTTTAGCTCTCAAATTTGGAAGTTTGGTTTCAACGGCCAAAAGACATTGTAAGGAAGTTGTTATCAGGAGATTTAGATCTTGGGATTGTGGGTTTGGATACAGTCAGTGAATATGGACAGGTAAGCATTATGGTATAGGATGCTGATGTGCTTTCTCTTACAAAGTTTTGACTCATTGTTGTGGGTTTTATGCTTTTTCAGTTGTTTTTGTTGGAGTTATGTTGATGATGCTGAACAAGTCCAGCCTGCTTGGCATGTGTGGACATGTATGCATTCGCGCATGCGTCTAAAACCATGTGTCGTATAGGAAATGACTGATCAAATTCAAAAGTTATTAGGTTATTCAAAGGAAAAATATGAAGTGATATATTTTGCCAAAAGGGTTCATGAAACTGAAAACAAGTTTTTAGAAACAAAGTTTTCTACATGGTTTTTGGGAATTTATATTATTGGTCAATTTTCCTCCAACAAAGTGCATTTTCAGAAAAAAAAAATGTAAAGGGAGTTTTCCACCTCACCTCATCTTAAGAAATTTAATGGCATTGTTAATTATTATTCCATTGAAGCAGCTCATGTAATAGTGTTGAGACTCTAGACTTGATTGATTTCATGTTAAAAAAGAAGTATGATGGCAAGATGACCTAGTCTTGGCTTGTGTACTGTTAGAACCTTTTTGTCATGCCAACTCACCCTAGAGTGAGATACTGCATAGTCTGTCAAGATTTCACCAATGAGAGAATTTGTTTCAGTATTCTGTACTTTGGTTTCTGCCTAAACTTGATGTTTTGGGTGTTGATAATCTTTGAGAACAATAAGCTATAAATTGAGACTCTGTCAAGGTGGAAGTTCTGTTTCAGTTTTGATTCTATTTAGGTTTACACCAGCTCATTCAACTTTGTGAATATTCCATATTACAAGAAACTTGTGATAAGCTTTGAAATCTGGCATGAGTTCTAGGCTTTTAATATAGAAGTATATTGGATGTACTGACAATTTTTTTTTGTATTGTGTATCCTGTGTAATGCATTGCAAAGGTTGCATGGATCCTGACTAACTGTGCATGTGATTTACACAGAGTGGACATCTGTGTATTTCTGACTTTACTTGTATTTCCTTTTCAGATGTATATTTTTCCATTTATTTACTTAAATCAATTATAAGGCCTTGGGTGGTCATTGTACAAACGGCTCTTAAGCTGAACCTGCAGAATGTTATATTTTGTTTTGGAGATTTAGAAAAAGCTGCATCTTTCTACAGTTACCCTTTCCTGTAACAATAATACTGTTGTCACACTGAGCAAGAATAGGAGAAATCATAGTATTCCAATTGGCAATAAAAAGTTATCAAAGCAATAGAAATTTTGCATTTGGTTGGACACCCAAGCATGACATAGAATCCTGAGATTAAAAAAGATAAATAGAAGCACTTATGAAACACACATAAATGGATTCACACAAGAGTCCATGCAAGTGTTGGGGTCCTCGCAAGGTTCTAATTCGCACTAGAGAACTGGGGAGGGGTGTATGATCTGAGTGCTCCAAGTATACTGCAGTTTGATTGGTAAACTCTGGCTGTACCAAACTTGATAGTGGGTGTATGGGTTTGAGTACCAAGAAACATCTTAAACGTGGGCATCTATCACATTATTAAATTATTGACTTTTTTGAATTGTAAAATATCGTATCGTGTGATGCGTGATGCTGTAGGTGGCTGATCCATGGAATTGGTACTAGTATGATTCTATGGGTAGCCATGCGGCCTTGCAGATTGTTGTGTCATTTGGATACTAATTTCTGTTTTTGTTGTGTAGAATGATTATGGAGGATATGCTTTAACCGTATAAGTTTGTCTTTGCATCACTTTTTGCCAGGGAAATGAAGATCTTATCATTGTTCACAATGCTCTTGAATATGGGGATTGCCATTTATCCCTTGCAGTAAGTAATCTTTGCATTTATATCGATAGCCACCTGCAGGCTGATTTTTCTCAGTTATTACTCTTAATACTCTAATACACCTTTTACTCTTTCAGATCCCTAAATATGGGATTTTTGAAAATGTGAATTCAATGCGGGCGCTAGCTCAAATGCCTCAGTGGACTGCTGAGAAACCTCTACGAGTTGCTACTGGCTTCACATATGTATGACATATGTTTCGTTTCATCAATATTGTGTTTCTAGTGTTGAAAAGATTCATTTTGATGTGATTTTTGTCATGTATCTGGGCAGCTGGGTCCTAAGTTTATGAAAGAAAATGGACTGAAGCACGTGGTTTTTTCTACTGCTGATGGAGCCCTGGAGGCTGCTCCAGCGGTGAGAATTATTTCTTACTATTTAGTGATATTATAAAAACCTTTTAGAATTTAAAGCTAGATTAGTTTATTGTCCTATGATATTATGGTGTTACTCCCTACTGAATTCCCCTTACAATGCATATTATTGCCTTCTGAGGGGGGAACAAGATTTGTGTGAGACTTGATATTTGATTGACGTGGCATGTCAATTTGACGTGTTATCTTGTTTTCATAGTCCTCTTGGTTATTGGGTTAAGATGTGTAGAATGAATACATAATTTGATGTCTCTCTATCTATAATTCGTATCATTTTGGCAAAACATTTTCATAAAATAATACTAAATGGCCTCTTAAGGTGCATTGTATCTGTCACCATCTTGTTCACTTTTTTATTACTGATCTTTGAATATTGGATAATGATGTAGCGTCGTGATGATTAATAATCATGCCATTTCCCTACATAATGCATAGAAACCACTTCTTTTTGTTAATTTAGATGGGGATTGCTGATGCTATTTTGGACCTTGTGAGTAGTGGGACAACACTCAGAGAGAACAACTTGAAAGAAATTGAGGGTGGAGTTGTGTTGGAAAGCCAGGTAAGCTGTCTTAGTTCATTGTTGACCTCACCAGCCATGAGATATGGTGATTTTGGCATCTTGTGAATGCTGAGGAAAGGCTCTTCTGGCAGCTGGTTTTATGTTCTGCCTTCTAAAATCTTGCCTTATCTCAAATTTCAATGCTGGACAGGCTGTTCTTGTAGCAAGCAGGAAGTCGTTGATCCAGAGAAAAGGTGTACTGGACACCACCCATGAGATTCTTGAAAGATTGGAGGCCCATTTGAGGGCAGTTGGCCAGTTCACGGTATGCATTTAATGTCTGTTATGCTGCAATTGTTTCTACTTTCTGTTCCTCTTGTTTCATCTATATGTTTCAAGGCAGGTAGTTGCAAACATGAGGGGAAGTAGCGCGGAGGAAGTAGCTGAGCGGGTATTGAGCCAAACTTCATTATCTGGGTTGCAGGTGAGGTTTGAAATGTAATCTAGAAACATCAATTAATAAAAGAAATTTAAGATAACAATAAGAAAGTATTGTATTGCCTAATAAATATTTATAAGAGATCTTTCATGGGGTTAAATTTTAAAACTTAATGTGAATCAATCCTAATTACTTTGACCCATACCCAACAAAATGAGGCATTTGCTGATAGGATCACGTTTCAATTTGAAATCGGTATCTCCAACCTGAAATTCAAAACTCAAAGTCTGGTTCATGACAGGATGAACCAGATTTTCTTGTCAGGAAAAATGACTAATCCCTCGTGTTTGTCCTTTCCCAATGGCCTCACCTACCTTATATGAAATCAATATCATGGAATCACTGAAGAATGTCAATTTTTTTTGTATAAAATTGGTGCCATCTGCAGTTGGTTTTCTCAATTAAAAACTCTTGTATGTTTGTTAAATGATTGTATGTGCAGGGACCCACTGTCAGTCCTGTTTTTTGCAAACGCGATGGGAAGGTAACAGCTGATTATTATGCCATAGTCATTTGTGTACCCAAGAAATCACTATACAAGTCTGTACAGCAACTGAGAGCGGTGAGTCATAGTTCTATTATACACACATAGACACACACATAACAATTGTATGAACCGTGACATTTTTTTCTGAAATCTATTAAAGATATAAATAGATACTTAAATACACTTCAAAAATTGTTTCTGGTTTATAGATAAGATTTCATTTTTCATTGCTATAATACACAGTTGAATTGACTTTTCAATAGGCAGTGAATAAACATGCCTGGTATATTTTTAGGGAACATTGCCTATTCATATTTAACCATTGCTGTTGAAAACCAACTTAATTGTTTTTCTTGCTCATACATAGTTTTGGGCTACATAAACTAGCCTTCCATCATAAGCGGGTTTATTCCAATTTCTGTAGTTCTCAGACATTTTTGAATCTCAACATATTGGTTGTGAACTTCTAAGGATCTTCTCTGCCTGCCTTTTTGTGCAGTAATGCATGTTTTGAAATAAGGCGGCTTCTCCCAGCCAGATCCACTTGATGAATTTGATTTCTTAAATATTGTTTGATATAGATTGGAGGCAGCGGGGTTCTAATCTCGCCCTTGACCTACATTTTTGATGAAGAGACTCCAAGATGGCGTGAGCTTCTCTCAGAACTTGGGCTTTAATTCCTGTTTTATTTGTTAGATAACTTATAGTATATCTGTAGCTGTCAATGCTGGAGTGATCGTTGAGCATCCTGACAAAAACTGTAAAATTTGGATGAAAAATGCTTTGACAAGAGAGGTACAACTTGGCAATTTTGTATTGTTGTCTTTGTTTGTTTGAATTTTTAGACGGTTTTTGCACTAGTAATTGATTTCTCGTTTCACTGTAACGATGATGATGGTATAGAAAAACATTTCTATATTGTATACCACAATTGGGTCTTTGTTTGGCCTTTTGTCAATGAGTAATGCTAGTTTTATAAAGACACGTACAAATGGGGCATACAAAGACAATCTCTATCCTTGATTTTCATGATTTCTCTTTCTCTCTTTTTTCAATTTTTCTTTGTTTTTTCTTCTGGATGATGTCACTTTGTAATTTTCTTTGTACGAGTTTTTGTAAGGATATCATTTTTCTTTGTTAATAGAGTTAAACCAAATGAACTGTATTGACTTCAACCAAAAAAAAAAAAAAAAAAAAAAAAATCTTTGAATTAGTGAAATCTCTTTGCATCCCTTGAAATTATTTACCTATTAACAACTTTGGATACAAGCTTAATCCAATTGTGGCAATCCCCACACTCTTAAGGTTCTTAAAAATCCTGATACTAGAAGTTTGATTACTAGTCTTCCATAATGCGAAGGCCATGGCTAGTTTCTCACTATGGTAATACAAAGACCTCTCTTTTCTCTCCTCATCCAAGTCTTGCAACACAAATCTGGTTCTGGAACATAACCAAGGTTTTTAACCTTTTGAATTAGATTCTCTAGTGTTTCGGTTTTCTCTTGCGACCTTGGGTGGGACCAATCCCCGGCCATGAAGATATGGACCTCGCGATCAACATCAACCCAAGTCATTGCCAGATCCTTTTTCAATTTCATCTCCCTCATTGTGGTCTTCATCTCAATAACCTGGTTCCATTTGCCTGTTGCAGCATAAAGATTTTAACACAAAACATGAGCTTGTTCATCTGCCATGCAAGCTCGAGCACTCTATTCTTAATTCTATCCACCATTTCGACTCGTCCATGAATCTTGCACCCACTAAGTAGCGCCCTCCATAAAACCACATATGGATTCTTAACCTGATTTATTAATGTTTCAGCCAATATTTTAAAACCCAACCCTGGCTAAAGCCACATCTAGCTAAGACCATATTACTGTTTTTCAATTTTCAGTGGATTTACTCATCGAAAATCAATTCCGTCGCCACCATTATACTCATTGGAACTTGCTCTTTAAAAGCCCTAATATCCCGACCTTCAATTGTTCGTAAATCATTATTCAAAATTCTAGGATTTTGAGTGAATATAAATAATGCAAACCCAACCCGGTGAGGCTTTCAAGTACTGGTTACACTGGGCTGGATTTTAAAACAGTGGTTTCAGCCTCCTCAAGTCTTCCAGAACGTCCAAGCAAATCAACCATACAAGCCTAATGATCTCTTGTTAGTTCAATATTGCGATTGCTCTTCATAGAAGCAGATATCTGGCAACCTTCTTCTACCAACCCTGCATTGTTACATGCTAAAAGAACACTTAAAAACGTAACTTCATTTGGGACCAGACTTAGATCTTTCATCCTATTGAACAGTTTAAGTGCCTCGGATCCGAATCCATCCTGGGCATAACTATATATCATTGAGTTAACAGAGACAGCATCAAGTTCAGTTAAGTCATCAAAAAATCTTGCCATTTCTGTATTTCCGCATTTCCCGTACAAGTCAATCAATGCTGCTCCAGAATATTTTATCTTTATCCAATCCATATTTCGTGACTATGGAATGGATTTGTTTCCATTCTTCTAGCATTGCAAGACTGGCACATGCCCTAAGTACACTAGGTAAAGTAAAAGAATTTGGATTTATCGAGTTGCGGATCATCAGCCTGAAATTTGCCAAAGCGATCTTTTCTCTACCATTTTGCACAAGACCAGCAATTATTGACGTCCACGTCACCTGGTTTGGGTTTGCAAACTGCTTGAAAACTTTCAAAGAATCATCAATATATCCGCACTTAGAATACATAGAAAGGAGTGAAGTTTGTGAAGCAACCGCAGATTCAAAACCAGACTTAATAATGAGACCATGAATCAGCCTACCATTACCTAAATCCTTTAAATTTCCACAAGCAATCAAAATGCTTGCGAAAGTATAGTCATTAGCCTTAACCCGTTCATTGATCATACTCACAAAAACCGCTAAAGCCTCACAATCTGCGCGCTGTTGAGAGTAACCAACAATCAAAGCAGTAAACAACACAACATCTTTCTCTACAACTTGGCCTGCCACCAATTTAGCATCCCTCGTTTTACCAAACTTCGAATACTTATCAACCAAAGCACTACCAACAAACACATTCGACACCTCTACGCCCAAAACCACTGACAACCCATGAGCTCTCTGCCCATCGCACAGAGAACCCAGCTCAGAGAACGCCTTAAAAATGCTCGAAAACATGTACTCATCAGGAAAACTCCCACAAAAATCATCATTTTGTACAACCCAATAGCTTCTTTACTCTTTTTCTGACTAATGTACCTAGCAATCATGGAATTCCAAGTAACAATATGCCGTTCAGGCATTTCATCGAACAATTTACGACCCTCCACAATGCTGCCGCATTTTATGTAAAGCATCTATCAGTTTATCACTTGAAGTGAGTACCAACGGCTCTTTTGTGAAAAGTTATTTACATTTCTATTAGCAAGCAATCAAATTGTTGTTTATTGCATGCTTTTGTTCTCGAATGGCTTTGGCAAAGTTTATTTAGGTAGTTTTGTTGACCGAAGGTTTGGAGGAGTGCTTGTTTGATTGAAGTCTGCCTAATTAACTAGAAGTTTGATTAAACACGAAAATGAGTCACTAGTTTATAAATTATGATAGAAAAGATTGACGCAACATTAGTTGTATTATAAACTAGGTGAAAGGCCTGCGCATTTTGATTGTATTTCGAGTATTGTTGTTTGTATATAATATAGTATTATTTAAGAAAGTGACTTTGCTACAATGTGTTTTTGAAGAATTTGATGTTTCAATTTATTCATATGTATTACATAGACACAGACGTTATGTAGGTATAGACTTGGCAAAGCGTTGTCTGTACCTACGGATAAATGGGTACCTGGTATAAATTGGCAGGTATGAATAATGAGTAATACTATATATATATCATTTTCGTACAACATTTCCCATACAATATTACGTAGTAAGATATAATTGGTTAATTTAAAGTTAAAATTAAACTTTCACCCAATCATATTTTACCATATAATATTGTATGAGAAATGTTGTATAGGAATAATGTATTTGTAGTATTATTCATAAATAACACTATTAATTATCCGTTTGAAAGTCACTCGTACCCGGTCCACTCATGAAAACACGGATGGACCGGGTAATATCCACGTGTACCCGTGTTTAATTTAAAAAATAAAAAAGAGGCAGAAAAATATAAAATGTAAAAAGTAAAACTAAAAACTAACTCACTCAACTCTCACTCTCACCTCCGCGAACTGCAGTAGCCTCAGCTCTCAATCTCTCTCACTCTCACCTCAGTCTAACGCCGAAGTGCAGCAGCCACCGTCTGACAGTCTCTCTAACGCTGAACTGCAGCAGTCTCAGGCCGTCAGCCTCACGCCATGCAGTAGCTCAGCTCTCAATCTCTCTCACTCTCACCTCAGTCTAACGCCGAACTGCAGCAGCCACCGTCTGACAGTCTCTCTCACACCGAACTGCAGCAGTCTCACGCCGTCGCGTCTCACGCAGCTGAATCTCTAGGGTAATGAGTTCACTTTGATTGAATTTTGCAACCATCATTTTTTATATGCTGCAACTAGAAATAGAAATTTTAATTAGTTCTATTATGTTCTTTTCCGGTAATTGATTCGATTTGAAGATGTCAATTTCTTATAAGATGAGAGTAGACGACTCTCCCACAAGTTGATTAAACTGAAGTTATAATTTTAATTATTCGGTCTGTGGTGTTTATATTAAACTGAAGTTATAATTTTAAAACTCTTCTTACAGAGTTACAGTCTTGCTTGCTATAAATAGCTATGCAGCTTTATAGTTTCAGTTAGTTGCAATCATTTTTCTACCTTGTTTATAAAAAAGCTTGAACCCTTACGATATCAAACCATCTGAAGTCTGTGTGTATGATGCATTTATGTGATTTATCACTCAATTGCTGCATTATGTTATGTAGGTGGACGAAAGAGAGAGAAAGAGAACATGCTGCTTTTGTGTCTTACTGTTTTTTTGCTGTTTTTTAGTTGAGTAGTTGAGGAGTTGAGGAGTGTTATGCTGGAAAAATCCAGCCATTTGGTAGGGCTGGTTTGCTTGTGAAATATTTGGGAGTGTTTTGTTTTTTATTCTTTTGGATGAACTGTTAATTTGTTATGGTTGGTTGATTAAATATAAATACTCTGTTGTGTCCTTTAGATTGGCATGGAATCATCTACAGATATGTTTAATGAGGTGATAGAAAGTGACCATAATGTAGCTGAATCTCCTTCCAGTGCTAGTACTGTTTGTCCAAAAAACGTAAAGCCTCAGATGTTTGGGGTCAATTTACAACATTTCTAGATGAGAAAGGGAATAAGAGGACAAAGTGTTTGATTTGTAGTAAGTCTTATGCATATGGTAGTTCCACTCATGGGACTAAAAATTTGAAGCGTCATATAAAAGGTTTTCCTAAACGTGCCATTAGTAATGTAGATCAATTAATGATGGATTGTGATACTAAATTGCGACCTTTGATCGGAAATGTGGACTGTATCACCAGAAATCGCACAGATTCCATTTATGGTTCAACAAATCGATTTTAGGGTTCAAGAAATCGATCGAAAATCGCGAGATCGCCGGAAATCGCGACTGTATTCCGTTTAGGGTTCAAGAAATTGATTTTAGGATTGAATATGGTGTGCAAACGATTTTTTGTTCGATCGGAAAATCGCAGGTTCAAGAAATCACTTTTCGCCCTAATGAATTTCGATTAAGCGAGCTGAATAGGTGGGGCTTGTTTTGATAAATTTCAAATTTTAAAAACTTTCT